AGACAAAAATTATAGTCAATAGAGAATCAAGCTAGAAGCTTGAACAATACGTTCTACTATTATACATCTCCATCACCATGTAACGCTAGTCATTCCGGTTTGCCAATATACTGTCACATTCTCTAGGTTTAAGCAGCTCGTACCTGAATTAATACTAGTAGCTGAAACATATATCGTCTGATATACGGCAACGTCTGTACGTCCCATCACCATATAAACATAGCTTATCGTGGATAGAAGCACAGGATATCGTTTTATGCTTCATGGCACAATTTTTAATGTCATGGCATATTTCACTGAACACATCAAGGACACGCAAAGAGAGAAAAAAGGGAATGCCCCAGCCAGCTGGGGGGCATGCATTCTCTGGAGGAAACACTATGTGTCAGCTACTGTGAATCGTGGTGATTGGACCATGGGGCATATCTTCGACGCCCAGCCAGCACTAGTACTACTAGGAGGAGGCTAGCTAGTACTCTAGTAGTAGTACTTCAAGAAGAAGTGTTACCTTCCCAAAAGAGATGATCAGTCCTGCAAGGACCTACATCGTGCATCATCTAACCCCTGCCCCGACAATGAGACGAAATTGAAAATACTCCAACCATTTTGGTCAAGGAGGAGATGAAGTAACAATTCCCTGTCATATCTTGGGGGGAAGACCTAAAAAAGTTTAGTAGTTATATTTTTCTATACTTTGTTGATTGGATGTGAAGTACAACTTAAAGTGCATGCGCCCCCCTCAATTAATTGAGATGTAGTATTCCAATAGATACCAAGATGGCTGCCGACCCGATACTTAGGAGAGAATATGTCTGGTTGATTCTAAGGGAAGAAGTGCCAAGAAAAAAGAGCATAAAAATAAACGATTCACAGTCAACTAATATCTTATATTCTACTGAGGCAGTGGGAATCCCCGGATTTCTCCCCTAGTTGCGAGATTTTCCCACAGCTCAATTTTTCCCACAACTCAATTTTTCCCACAACTCAATTTTGCTTCCCACAACTAGTTGTGGGAATTCCCTCAACAGTTGTGGGAAAATTGTCATTTCTACACAGAAAACCACGTAGGATATATACTGAGACAAATTTAAAGTTTCCAACAGCTCTAATTGTAGTTGTGGGAAGTTCTACGCAAAACTGTCCGTTCTACGCACAAAACAACGTTTGATATGTACTGACTAGAAATTAAACAACTACAAATGATGTTTCCGAAAACTCTAATTGTTTTCGTGATATTTCGTGATACATTTAAGGCAAAAATAACGGACATCTGAGCAACGGAAATTCCCACAACTAGTTGTGGGAAATTCCCACAACTAGTTGTAGGAATTTCCCACAACTATTTTTTAAGATTCCTACAACTAGTTGTGGGAATTTTTGGCAAAAATCTGTTCCCACAACTAGTTGTGGGAAATCGCGTTAAATATCGCGGGGACGAAATAAAATGAAAAGGGGGAATCCCACTGCCTCACTGGGGTTTTATATTATACTATGGAGGCCTTCGGCTATGAAGTCATGCATTCTAGGAGCGAAACTTGAACAACGGTATCGCCACTCCACAACATCCCTGATTTTCGTCGTGACAGAAGCCGCCACTAGTGTTCTGGGCTCAATCCAATTTTGGATTTAAACCAGAAGTTTTTTGTATCTCTGCTGGACCCAATGGTTCGCTGCAAAAGGCAAGATTGCAAACAGACTGTCATCGGTTTGACAACGATATCGGCCATCTGGCAGTGATCTTCTCAGCAGAGAACACAGACATCCAAGCAAAACAACGACCGGTATCAAATCAAAGCATCGATAGCCTCATGGACCAGCCATCACAGAACAGTGTTGATTGTTGAGTCACGGGATGAAGAAGTGTTGTCGAAACTGGAGATGAAGAAGGAATGCCATACAGCATGTTCTTCACAAAAGAGAGCCAAAATAATGCTCCTGACGGTCCTTTGTCTTCATCATGGCCATGATAATATCAACAAGAACTCAACAGACGCCAACACAAAGAGGATCAAGTAGCAAGTTATCGTGTCCCCAATAATGTGGTGGAAATCAAAGCCCTTTTCCGTCCACGGCTGATTGATATGTTTGGCAACAGAACAAGAGGATTCCAACCTTGCACAACGCCAGCAAAAGTGGGCAAATGTGCATGTGCTGGATGCGAAGCCGAGTCTTGTGCAAAAGAAGGACCTGGAGCGCACCGTTGCAAGTTTTGTTGCAAGTTTTGTGGTATCCCCGTCCATGCAGCGTGTTCCGTTGATAGATGATGGGTTGACAAAAGCGATGCCACCAACCCTTGCCTGGTACAGGTTTTGCAGTGAGCCATTATTGAGAAAATCCACAGCGAGGCCAGAGGTATTACATTTACATAAATATCTTGGTTTCTCGTGTCTCGTTTCGTTTCATTTGTTCGTTCCATCGATATCATATTTGAATATACCGTATACCGTGCGAAATCTGAAACCAGACCAGTATTCTGGTCTACGTTCAAATTAGTACGATTTCTACGTAACAAAATGAGTCCCAACTTGAATTCGCATCGTGTATTCGTAACCCGGAGTGCCGATATACTTTTTGTTAGAATCAAAATTACGACTAGAACTGCTTGGATCGTTAATCCTAAGCGGTAGGAGCTCTACCAATGATAAAGATTGAACTTATAGCCGATGTTTAATCGGTGCTACAATTGGGATTGAATCAACAGAATGAGAGCAACGCCCAAGCTCCATCCGTTGATTCAGGCTTTACCGCATACTAGGTTTCCGGTACTATTGTACAGGATTCTTACGAACAACATCGGCCCAAGACACCTTCTCCACTTCGGACGGACTATCATCAGCACTAACATAGTCCTCTCCTTCATCATGACCTCCAACACTCCTGTGATGATGATTCCTCCGTTTGGAAAAGGGAATCAATGTGTTTGTATCCCAAAACCACATCTCGGAATTTTCTGAACAAGTTGCCTTGTAGGGGTTTTGTAAAGAAATCCGCTAACATCTTTTGGACAATATTGGACTTCGATACCTTCCGTCTTCAAACGATCCTTGATCCAGAAATAACGATTGTCCATGTGCTTTGTCTTTTGCCCGCTTGACATTTTGCCGTTTAGTTCAATTTTGATCGCGCTCTGGTTATCTTGAAATAGAACATTTTCCATGAGTTCATGTCCCTGTTCGCCTAGGAACATTCGAGCCCATATCATATTTGGTAAGAAATCACTCACTCCGACAATTTCGGCTTCGGTTGGGCTCTTAGTATTCAACTTTTGTTTTTGACATTTTGTGAGTAAGACCCCCCATCCAAAAGAAGTGCATCCGCCAGTATGGCTCTTGCATTCGTCATGGATACCATAGGAGACGTCAACCCAAGATTTCATCCTGTTGATGTCTTCTCCTCCTAACGTTCGAACTAGATCGATGGTTCCTCTGAGGTATTGCAATAGTCTTTTCAACTTTGCCCAGTCGTCTTCATCTGGCGAATCAACTCTGGTACACAAAAAACCGATGGCAGTCTGTATATCAAGCCTGCATCTTCTTGAAACGTATAGCAAAGATTGCACCACGCTGTGAAAACAGTCGGCTTTCTTCTCATCGAGTTTCTGAGCATCTGGCCATACATCAAATAGGTACCCCTTTGCTGGTGAAGCTGCGTTCCTAGTAATGTCTTCATCGAAAGTGTTTATTGCTTTGAGAATATGTTTTTTCAAACCTATGGTCAATTTTCCCTTTTTATACTTGAGTTCCATGCCCAAAAAATCATGCTTGTCCCCTCTCGTCTGTGACATGGGCCCAAACTTGCTTTCGATTTTCTTGATCACGTCATCAACCACTTTTGGGTTTACGTGACTGATTTTGTTGTCATCCACATACCAGCATATGGTGCACTGTTTACCCTCAAAAATTCCATTCGCGACGCATAGATCATATGGGTTCAAAGTGAAACCCATGTCTTTCAACGTTTCAGAGTACAACTCAAACCATAGCAAAGCAGATTGAACACACCCATACAAAGCTTTGTCCGACTGAACGTATAACACCTTTTTTCCTCTCTCCTCGACAACGAACTCCTTTAGAGTTTTGTCAATGTTGCAGAAAATATCCACCTCCGGTCCTGTGATTTCATAATGACCTTGTCTTTCATTTTGGCGTGTAAGTACGCTCCCTTTACGTCTGTAATCGCCTTGTCTCTGTTTTCAATGACATCGATAATGCTTGTCAACAGGAAAGCGTCAAGTGATACCTTTGGAGATGCTGTCTCTTCCTTCAAGTATAGCCCGCGCTGTACTCTTCCCTCCATCACGCTTCTGGCTCTCAAAATAGGATTCTCTGGTGTGTGTCCTCTGTTCACCTTTTCTTCAATTATGTTGATCATGTTCGCGGACATTTTCTTTTCTTTGGCAGTGAGGCTGTCAGCCTTTACCCCATGGAATACGTTAAATTCCATAAGTTGTTTGAACTCTTCGATTAGTTTGAGTTCTGCTTCCTTCCCATACCTTTTTATTCCTTGTTTTGCGGACATCTGCGCAAAAACGAGCCCTGTGGTGAATGTTTCCAGCAGGTTTGTTTTACCTGAAAGATGATACTTGTCCCATGCAAATTTGAAAAACTCTTTCTTCTGATTGATCTCAAGATCTGCAAAAGGGATCTGTAAAAATGATAGCCCTTGGCCTTTCTCAGTTCTCTTCCTCTCTCGTTTTCCAAAACCGTAGTTTCCCCTGTGTGTGTCTTCAAATGTTGTGATCTCCTCCTTCGTTCTTCTTTGCGAGTATCAAGCTCGTCTTTGTCAGTGTCTCTGTCATTGATTTCGTCTTCTGTATCAGAGTCCGAATCTTCTACAAAAACGATTTCTTCTTCACCCTCCTCCAACGGCTCCAGGCTGTTGTCTAAGTCAAAGTTATCAAAATCGTTCTCGTCATGTGCTTCATGATGAGCTTCTACTCCTTGATTTTCATCCAATGGCGCTCCTTGGTTTCCATTAATTTCCGCTCCTTGATTTTCATCCAATGGCGCTCCTTGATTTTCATCCAATGGCGCTCCTTGATTTCCCTCCATAATTCCTCCTTGATTTCCACCATCCTCCGCTCCTTGGTTTCCATACTGTGGCGCTTCTTGCTCATCTTCGCCCAGGCTTCCGTTTTCGTGCTGCTCCGTCTCCTCTGCTTCCTGAGCTGCCTCTAGTAATGCAACATCCGCTCCTGTCGGTGCAGCTGTAACTGGTACGGCGAAAGGATTGGGGCCTGGGTTAGGCAAAGGTTGAACAATTGGTGCTGGAATGATGGTGGTGTCAACGGGGGTCGGCAACACAACTACGTCTTCGTCGCCAATGGGCCGTCCTGGGCGCCATTGATAAGTCAGCATTTTGCTGTGTCGGTACGGCTGGTTTTGTTCGCGTCCTAAAGTTTCAACTCGTGCAATGACAGCGTCGGTGACTGGAAGGCGTGCTACAACGCGACCGTTGATCTCCTTTCCTGTTTCCAGAGACATAAAATTATATCTTCCTGAAATATTGCGTGGTCCGCAAACAATGGCGTCAACTGTGCGGCTCCTCATGGTGTTTGTAGTTCTGTCAGTGACGTGGAGCTGGACATATTCGCCAAATTTGTACTTTAAGTTGTTGTAGTCGATGTGTGGAAGGTTGTCTACGAGATTTCGTGGGGAGGGTCCGCTTTCATGTTGCGCGGACCCAAAAGCATTAAGAAAAGTATTGGACTGTGTGATCAATTCTCTCAGCATCATTTGGGGGATGCATTTGTATGGCATGGCTTGGCAAATGGTTCTGTGCTCATTTTTCTGAGTCTGTATGGAACGTTCAATCTCGGGAACATGATCGTCTGTGCCACAGCAACGTAGACGGATGGGAAGTAAATCCCGTTCAGCCTTGCTAAATTCATTATCCGCGTGTAGTTCTATAGCACGGAAACCCCTGGATTCATAGATTTTGCACATGTCCGCGATCTCGGACACTATGGATGTTTTGGATCGGCTCAAAGGGAAAGATACAGTGCGGTAGTCAAGTTTTCGAGAGATTGTGTGGAAAACGGCGACGGTGTCTACATAGTAGAAGTCGGCGCAAACCGTCACATTCTTGAGGTCCATGTATAGGCCCTTTGGGATTGGGATAACTTCCGTGTCCGGTACTCGTGACGAAGATTGGTACCTGGTTCGTCCTTGATGGGTGGTATTGGGGGGCCGTAGATTACATGGGACCTGTCAACGTCGTTGACCGTGACTGGGCAGTTCCGGATCCAGTTATTTTTCACAATGCGTGCAAATTTGTCCTTGGCAACATGGTTGATCCTTTGGTTGAGAGTAATAGCTTCGTCCGCCTTTCGAATGTCGCGCTGTTTGAATAAGCGCTTGTTCATGGCTACGGTGTTTACGAAACAGAAAGCTTTCTTTAACTTAGACATATCTATCTCCGAAGCATCAAACACGTACAGGCCTGGTTGGATGCATACAAAACGCATGATGTATCCAGCCGAGACATGAACGAGCAGAGCGTTGTCGATATCAGAGTATATTGTCACACGGTAATGTTCAGTGACAAGGGCCAAAGACAAAATGTTTGCCAGACAATTTGGGTTGAACCACACAGGAAGATTTCCGAGGAGACCTTTCTGTGTGGTGTCGAGGCTGCCCCCATTACTGACAAGCCTCAAACTCTCACCGTTAGTAGTATGTTTCACATCCGTCAAAAACTCCTTGTTCTGAAAAATGTTGTCCGTGGACTCACTGTCGAGGAGTATCCATAGTGGATTAATGTAAGTATCACTCATGCTATTCAGAAGCACGCCGATGCTATTCGGATGTCGTGTGGAACTTACCTCCTGTCCAGAAGTTGCAGAAGCTTCTTGTGAGATCTTGGTTCCGTCAGCGTCGATAGCTATTGGGCAGTGACTCTTGTAGTGTCCTTTGAGTTTGCACAGGTGGCATGTGGTGGTCGGGAAGAACGAATTGTTGGTACCACGAGCAAATAGGATTTGGTCGTTTCCAGATGTCTGCAAGAACGCCACAGATGTGGATCGCCTCGCTCCGCCACGTGGCCGTGGCTGTGGTCTTGGAGATCCTTGTGTGTGAGACGGACTGATGTAGTTGTCCAGTAGCTTCATAGTGGACGCCACACTCTTGGGGAATCAATCAACCTTGGTGAGAAAATCATTCTTCAACGAGGTCATCAAAGACTTGAAGCGCGTGTCGTCAGATCGAGTTAGGATTGCTGCCGCTAGAATCCTTTCTTTGATGATCTTCTTTTGCTGACAAATGGTCTCCTTTCGGAGACTCGCTCCCATATCTTGTCCGTTTGCTGACTTGTATACGACATTTGCGTTGGCCACCGCAGCTTCCAACTTCTTCTCTTCATTTTCACCCCAGCGGAAAACTCCGCCATGCCTTTCATAGACCTTGATCTCGCGAGTGATCTTCTTGATGAAAGCTTCGTTCGACTCATCGGGTTTCTGTTTCATCGTAGTGATCTCGGTCAGTTGCTCGTCCATGGCCACCTCGTCAGGCAGTACTCCCTCTTCGAAACCTGTCATGATGTCGTCCAGTACTCCAATGAGCCACAACAGGTTCATGGCTTCATCTTCTGTTGTGAAGTCGTTGCGCGCTTTAACTTTAGTCTTTGTTGCCTCTGAAATATTTGCCATGACCAGCGTGTACATGGCCTTCTTATTCGACTTATACACGGCCTTTCTTGCCTTGTTTTCAGCCTTTTCGTCGTTGAAAATTTCCACCAAATCTGGGTCCTTCAGCTCATCTGTCGTTAATGGAGTCGGTCCCGCGAATATTGGTTCTTCTTGGTGCTTCAAAACGTGTCCCACGTCTTCACCTTTTCCCCATGATATTGTCACATGGTTCCTCAAAGTTTCGATGAATTTATCGAACTCATACTTTGTTCCATTTTGATCGGGGCATCTCAGTTCCTCCAGCTTGTCAACTGTCACGGATCTGGTGCCTCGCCACATCATCTTGGTTGGTTTCTTTGTCTAATTTAGGGTTCCAACCTATCTAGGTTCTTCGCCAATCTTCTGATTCTTTGCGTTCGTGTGTGGACGGTGACGAATCCAGAGATGCGATTAATGCTTGTGACTTCGCCCTCTGATTCTTGCCCTTTGTTTGGATTTGCAATCCGCACTTGATCTCCGATCGATAGCTTCCCAGAAGTTGTCTGCTGTCGGCGAAACTTCTGTTTCTTGTCCTTGGGGCTCCTATCCACAGGTGCTTTCTTTTCTCTTTCTTTGTCCAGGTCTAATCTCAGTTTCCGGACCTGTTCCTCGATACGTTTCAATTCCTTGATGTATTCCTCCACCAAATCTGGGTCCTTCAGCTCATCTGTCGTTAATGGAGTCGGTCCCGCGAATATTGGTTCTTCTTGGTGCTTCAAAACGTGTCCCACGTCTTCACCTTTTCCCCATGATATTGTCACATGGTTCCTCAAAGTTTCGATGAATTTATCGAACTCATACTTTGTTCCATTTTGATCGGGGCATCTCAGTTCCTCCAGCTTGTCAACTGTCACGGATCTGGTGCCTCGCCACATCATCTTGGTTGGTTTCTTTGTCTAATTTAGGGTTCCAACCTATCTAGGTTCTTCGCCAATCTTCTGATTCTTTGCGTTCGTGTGTGGACGGTGACGAATCCAGAGATGCGATTAATGCTTGTGACTTCGCCCTCTGATTCTTGCCCTTTGTTTGGATTTGCAATCCGCACTTGATCTCCGATCGATAGCTTCCCAGAAGTTGTCTGCTGTCGGCGAAACTTCTGTTTCTTGTCCTTGGGGCTCCTATCCACAGGTGCTTTCTTTTCTCTTTCTTTGTCCAGGTCTAATCTCAGTTTCCGGACCTGTTCCTCGATACGTTTCAATTCCTTGATGTATTCCTCCACCAAATCTGGGTCCTTCAGCTCATCTGTCGTTAATGGAGTCGGTCCCGCGAATATTGGTTCTTCTTGGTGCTTCAAAACGTGTCCCACGTCTTCACCTTTTCCCCATGATATTGTCACATGGTTCCTCAAAGTTTCGATGAATTTATCGAACTCATACTTTGTTCCATTTTGATCGGGGCATCTCAGTTCCTCCAGCTTGTCAACTGTCACGGATCTGGTGCCTCGCCACATCATCTTGGTTGGTTTCTTTGTCTAATTTAGGGTTCCAACCTATCTAGGTTCTTCGCCAATCTTCTGATTCTTTGCGTTCGTGTGTGGACGGTGACGAATCCAGAGATGCGATTAATGCTTGTGACTTCGCCCTCTGATTCTTGCCCTTTGTTTGGATTTGCAATCCGCACTTGATCTCCGATCGATAGCTTCCCAGAAGTTGTCTGCTGTCGGCGAAACTTCTGTTTCTTGTCCTTGGGGCTCCTATCCACAGGTGCTTTCTTTTCTCTTTCTTTGTCCAGGTCTAATCTCAGTTTCCGGACCTGTTCCTCGATACGTTTCAATTCCTTGATGTATTCCTCTTCTCGCATGAAAAACTCTGCGAAGATTCGTTTTGTGATAATTCTGTTTTTCTGTTGATTCAATGTTAGAATCAAAATTACGACTAGAACTGCTTGGATCGTTAATCCTAAGCGGTAGGAGCTCTACCAATGATAAAGATTGAACTTATAGCCGATGTTTAATCGGTGCTACAATTGGGATTGAATCAACAGAATGAGAGCAATGCCCAAGCTCCATCCGTTGATTCAGACTTTACCGCATACTAGGTTTCCGGTACTATTGTACAGGATTCTTACAAACAACATCGGCCCAAGACACCTTCTCCACTTTGGACGGACTATCATCAGCACTAACATAGTCCTCTCCTTCATCATGACCTCCAACAACTTTTCCGCAATACCATGTGGGAACTAAAATTTCACTAGTAATCGTATGGTACAGTAGATGATTGCGGAAAAGTATATGATTTTGATATATACGTTTTGTGTGGAAATGCGTGGTAATGATATATCCTTCAGTAAGTCTGGTACACGTGTACATGTACCTATTAATACCTGCCTGTCAGTCCTGGTACACGGACATATATATGCGATTGCTCATCCTTCTCAATCGCTTTGGATTTCGCAGACTCCAATTGGGCCTAAAAGAGTTTCAATGATGTTGGGCTGACAGTTGTTACTAGCTGTTGGCCCCCAATCCCCCAGTGAGGTGGGACTAGGGTAATCTTAATAACTATCTATTCCTAGACTTCAAATTCACTCTGTCAAATACAGAGCAGTCTTTTCAAAAGGAATGAGCTGCAACTGCAAGACGGGGTAATTTTCACAAAATAGGGGCAAAGGGACAGACGGGGTTCATTTCTTCTCAAGCGGGTTGCGTGGCCAATCAAATTGCGATAAAATAACGGTCATGTCACCTGTGTGAAATGAAAAAAGCTGAAACCGAATTTGGATACGATTCAAAGCGGCCACGCAGGCAGTGCATTTTAGTCCCCCGGTGAAAATAACGGATGTGGAATCTGGAATCCACGAATGTGCAATTATATTTCTCCATGATGGAGAAAAAAGATTTCGTTTTCTCCATGATGGAGAAAAATACTTTCTATTTCTCCATTCGGAAGCTGGAGCCAAAAGGTTTCATCAGGGGAAAGAAACAATTGGGGGACAAGTTT